CCATGGTGCAGAGTTCTCTCCTGCCCAGCTGGCCTTAGGACTAATGCAAACCTTCCCTGGCAATTGGTAGCCTAGATGTGTGGTCAAACATCCAAGGAGGACAGGATGGGTGGATTCAGAGTCCCAGCTTTTTCCCATCAAGTAAAAGCCATCATTGCTGCTGATTCCAGACTAAGCCTCTGGCCTCCAAGGACAGGTCTCCCCTACCTCCTCCCTTCCCTGCTTTGCTATCCACTGAGAATAACGAACAAGAACATTTTTCATCAGCTTACTCCTGGAACACATCAACTCAGACTTTCAGCCTCTACCTTTTTGTTCTGATTTCCAGAAACTTGGGAATTGTGAAATGTAGAGGAAGAACCTGAGTTGAAATAATCACCAGATTAAAGACTTTAGTGTCCCCCACCCTCAAGGAGATTACATTGTAAATGAGTAAGACTTAGATATGGGTCCCTTCTCTGTCCCCTCCCATCTTCTCCACTAACCAACCTTATCTTAAAAGAGACCCAGGCCTTGAGACATGCTAACTGGTGACTGGGGAGTTTAACATTCCCTAACCTCAGGAAGGCCAGAGTCCTGAGCCCTAGACCCTTGAGAAGTCCTGAGTGTGGATCTCAAGTGGTCCCTCTGATCTATTGCATAGACCCTAGCTTTCCATGGGCAAGAAGCAGCCGTTTCCAGCCCTCCAAGAGAAGCTGGGTCAGTGTGACCATATACTGTTTTATGAGGTATGTTGAGGACCAGGAATGGATGTGGTAGAAATGGGCATGGCTTGTGTGCCTTTGGATCTGAATGGAAATCTTTGTTGAGTTGTATTTGCCACAGTGGGCTGGCTGAGGCTCGAGCTGAATTTCGTACCTTCCCAAACTGTCCCTGGGGCTGAATGGCCCTCTCTATGGCCTGCTAGGTTTGGGCCAATCTGAACAGGCCCTTCCTAAAACTTTCCAAGGGCAAGGGCCCCAATCTCTTACCTAGATTAGTGTCCTGTCACTCGTGATTAAAGACTCCTCTGTTCCCTTCTTCTCCATCCCTTACTCAACCCCTACACACCATGGTTGCCTCATTGTTAACAGCAATGGCGATTAAGGGCAAGAACTCTGGAGTAAGATTGGCTCCGTTGTATCCGGGCTCCAGCATTTACCAGCCAGATGCCTTTGGGCAATTTAATCTCTGCAAACCTCAATTTTCTCACTTTTAAAACAGACATAACTGTGGTACTTAAATTACCAAGTTGTGTGCAATAAATAAGACAAAAAGCACTTAGCACAATACTTGTCACACTGTCGGCTCTTCTTAAACGTGAACTGAGATCATAGTCCTCCTCATCATCTGCTTCTTCATCAGCCTTCCTTCCTGGATTTGCAAGTATCAGGAAGAAGAGTTCTTCATCATTTCAGTGTCTCTGGAAAAACTGAACAGAATGATGGGATAAAAGGAGGCAAATATTGTGTCCTTCCTTCCCGCCCCTGCCACCGCCCAGGTTATTCTCAGGGACCCAGACAGGGCGTCATGGAGACCAAGCAATGGTTCCTGACCGGGCCTTTCTCATATGGCCCCAGATATCCAGCCTCGTGTTGGGGCTGCTAGCATTCACATTTCACCCCCTCTTCTGTCCTGGGGTGGACACCGTGATTAACAAAATGACAGGACTTGCTTCAGATCCTTGAGACCCTTAAAATGCAGCCTAATTGGGTGGTAGCAGCTTCAGACTCCCTGAGAGCTACTGGGATCAAGAGGGCCAGCAGGCCAGGGAAGGTCCTGCTTTCTTTTTGTTTGGTTTGCCTCTGAGAGCCAAAGCCAGCTCCTGGGAAGGGCACGCCTGCCACCTGCTGGCTGTGGGGAGCACAGCACCTGGCCGTCCCTCAGGCTCCAGCTAGAACCAAGATTTGGAGCTCTGGCCCAGGTGGCAGGTCCTGGAAGACCCTTCCTTGTTCGGGGCTGAAGAGGGATGTTCCCGGAGGTTGTCCCTCTGTCCTGCCCAATTCTCAGGGCTGAAGATAGCCAGACATGGCCCAACCCATTCAGCTCCGATACGAGAATTAAGCGGCATCTCCTTGGTGCTGGGTTGAGTCAGGCTCTGTCCTCCAGACAAGTGCCAGGACCAAGGCTGTGATGAGGGGGAGGCTGAAGGAAGGGTAACATTTGTTCATGGGGTCACCTCATGCCCTTTCTTTGGCCACTGCCCTAACACTCATGCCCAGAGGCATAGGGGCTTCAGATGCTCCCGTTCCAGCACCCCAAGCCCGGGAGCACCCCTGAGAATTGAACTTGAAATTTTCCCACTAGGCCTCCCTACTATATCTACTCCCCACCCCTCCCCACCCCACCCAACAACAAACAGACAAAACATTTGGCCCTGGTCTCAGTTCTTCCAGAGCTGGGCGACCTCGAGGTAATTAAACAGAGCCACCGTCCCACATGACAAATGACCTTGGTTCTCTTTTCTGCATTCCTTTTCCCTCCGCATCTTTTTATTTCATAAGTTTTCAAACCTACAGAAAAGTGGAAAGACTAATATAACGAACGTCCTTGGCCCAGGTAGATGCACCAATTATTAGCATGTTATCCCGTTTGCTTTCTCGGACACACACTCACCCATTTGTTTGTTTTGTTTAGTTTGCTCAATCATTTCCAAACAAACTGCAGACACTGGCCCTGAAGACCTTAGCATGCACATAAGGTCATTTTCCTAGAGAATCACAATGCTGTTTCCACTCTCAAGAAGTTCAACATTGATACAATAATGTTATCTAAGTCCTTACTCAAATCGCCCAATTGCCCCAATAATGTCCTTTATAGTTTTTGGTTCTTTTGTTCGAGGATCACATACTGCATTTAGTTGTCACATTTGCTTTAGGTTCATTTTTTCATAGTCTCATTTAATAAACACCAGTTCTCCATCTTTTTTGAAGTTGACGTTTTTGTAGAATGGTAGAATCCTCCCCAGTTTGGATCATGTCCCTCATGATTAGCTTGAGACATGAATTTTTGTCAATAATACTATCTGGTGATGTTGTGCCATTGGTACATCATATCAGGATGCATTCTTTCTGTCCTAATTTATCTTCTGCCTACTCTCCAAAACTGTGTAAGGAGGTCTACAGTAAAAGACCCATGTAAAACAGAAGATTTAAACTTCTGCTGAGGGTAAAAAAAACAAACCCAGTTGTCGTTGAGTCGGTTCCCACTCACAGTGACACCACGTGTGTCAGAGTACAACTATCCTCCATAGGGGTTTCAATGGCTGTGATCTTTTGGAAGCAGATGGCCAGCCTTTCTTCCGAGGTGCCTCTGCATGGGTTCGAACCACCAACCTTTTGGTTAGTAGTTGAGTGCTTAGCCATTTGCACCACCCAGGGTAGAGGAAGCAAATCTACCAAACTGCCTAGATTGGTGTGGGTGCTGGGAAGGCACATCATGTTGATCTCAGCTTTCTGATAGCCAAGATCCAACAGGAAACTTGTTGAATGACAAAACTCTCTTTTTCTAAATCAGAAATTGACAAACTTTTGAAAAGTGCCAGATGGAAAATATTTTGGACTATACTATCTCCATCACAACTACTCTGCCACTGTAGTAGGAAAGCAGCCACAGACAAAATGTAAATAAATGGGCGTGGCTGTGTTTCCATTAAACTTTATTTACAAAAATGCAACTGCTAGGTTTGGCCCACGGGCCTTAGTTTTCCAACCACTGGTCCAAGTGAAAGGAAATATACCAGTTATTAAAAGAGGAAAACTTTCTTTTTCTGGTAAGTACTATATTCTAAAAGAAATTAATCAGATCATTATTTATATATTCAACAAATACTTTTTGAGGGATGCCATGTGCCAAGCACCATGCTAAGTGTAAGGTAATGCATTATCAATTAGACAAGATCCCTGCCTTCCTGGAAAACAGGCTGGTATGAGAGACAACAAGCAAATCAGCTAACATAAAACTATGCACTGAAATAAAGACCTGGAAGAGATGAACTGCGTGCAGTGACAGAATAATGGAGTGGGGCTAGGGTCCTACTGATACAGTGGTCAGGGAGGCTTCCCTGAGAAAACGACATTTAAGCAGAGACCCAGTAAAAGTTACAGGGAAAAAGAAGAGCAAGTGCAAAGGCCCTGAGGTGGGAGGAGCTTGACTTGTGCCATTCGGAAGATCTGAGGGGAGGTGTAGTGTGGCTGAAGCATAGTAAGGGGCAGGGGTTGAGGGTTATGGGAGGAGGTTAGGAGAGGTCGACAGGGCATTTGAAGATCATGGAAGGAGTTTGTATTTTATTATATGACCAATAGGAAGTCACTGGAGACTTTTCAGCACCTGTCCGTCTCCAACCCCCAAAGAGCTGTCAGCCCCAGGAGATCACCTAGACCTCAGCGTGAATCCTAATCCTATCACAGCTGTGTGACCTCAGGGAGCTGTCCTAACTTCTCTGAGCCTCAGTTTCCTTATGTATTAACAAGGCTCATCATAAGGCTGTTAGAAACCTACCCAGGGGTACCATGGAAGATAGGTCTGGTGATCTGCTTCAGTTAAGATTACCACCAGGAAAACCCTAAGGAACACATGGGGTTGCCATGAGTTGAAATCAACTCGACAGCAACCAACAACAAGGTTGTTATAAGCATTAAATGCAGTGACGCAAAACCAGAGGGAATATGCTCCATACATGATAACACTATAACAGACAATATCGCCAATACCTGTGCAGCTGGGTTCCAGCATGAGAACAGGTAACTGCAAGAGACACGAGTCCTTGCTGAGGAGGAAGGGCAAGGCTGCAGATGCTCTGCCAGCACAGGAAGAAAGGGAGTATCTCCCAATAGACCTGCCCCTTCCCTCCAACACCCTGGTCCCAGCTGCAAACCCCAGAAAGCGCCCAGTGCTCCCACCCTCTGTGTGAGATCCTGGGGAAGGTTCCTCTCTAGCTTGCCAGAGCCCAGGAAGCACCAGCTGGCTCAGCAGAGCCCGGGACTCACTGTGCTCTGCTTTGTGTTGTTTTTCAGTTCTCTCTGATGTCCTTACTCCCAGACCTGGACCCAGGTGAGTCTGCTGATCACCCTGGGGCATCCCACCACCCACAGGCTGGTTCTGGGGTAGAAGAAAGGGGGACTAAGCATAGAAGTGTCGGAGAAAGCTTAGGGTACAACTGGCCCCAGGTGTCACAGACCCCTCTGAGAATTTGCCCAGGTAAGTGCATACTTGGCGGTCTGTTTGCACATGCTCACACACAATGCCTGTGGACACCCCTGATGCCCAGTCTGAGGACTTCGAGGGAAAAACTGCTGAGGAAGTTAAACTGCTTCATCTTACAGAGGAGGAAACCAGGGCCCAGGGAAGGGAAGCATTTGCTCAGCGTCACCCCATCAGCTCGTGGCTGAGCTGAGGTGGAAGGGCCAAGGCAAAGTGAGGTCATGAGTGAGCAAGGCTGCTCCAGGCAAGCTGGCCCTGCACCAGCCCACCCAGTCCACCCCTTTGTTGAGGAACCAGCACCTCCACACCAGAGGATGGTGTCACTGACATGTAGGTAGTTCCTGGCCGACCCACTCCACCCTTGTCCCCTCGGCCTGGCCATGTGTTTACTCAAGGCTCAACGTGTCCACTGTCCAGTGAGCACCACTCTTTCACTGGCTTAAAGCTACATCTGCAGGCCATATACACACACTCCTACACACACAACACACAGCACACACAAACACGACACACACACAATACACATAGCACAAACACAATGCACACACAAACACACAGCACATATATATACAACACACATGACAAACACACAAAACACACAGCATACACACACACGACACAGAGCACACACACACAGTGCGCATAGCACAAACACAATACACACAATACACACAACAAACACACACACACAAATCACACACACTCACACACACGACACGTGCACGCACACAATCACAGGCTCTGGCTCTGTCACAGACTCACCCTCTCACTTCTCCCTTTCCTCTCCGCCTGGCTGGCCTGGGCTTCGCAGGCTGTTCCTTCCTGCCACATCATCCATCCTTGGTCTCTGGCTCTGGGTCCAAGTCTCTCTTGGCTGCTCTGAACCCCAGGGGAGAGAAAACTCCCTTCACTGCTCCACCAGGGGCTGTCAACCCCCGCTGGTACCACCTGGGCTTGTTACCCACGGTGGACGGCAGAACCAGGCAGACAGCATGTGGAGGCTGCAGTCAAGTCTAAACTTTGCATCAAGGATTTATTTGGAGCAAAGCTGGTGATAACTGGGCCAAAATCAGCGTGACAGTCGATAGTCTCCAGTAGCAAAGCTCTGGACGGGCAGACAGACTTGTGCCAGCTCAAGGCAAGTGGCACTAGGTGCCAGGTCTTTGTCCAGCCCGTGTACTCAGGGAACAGTTGTGGAAGTGAATAGAAATATATATATCAGCATGGCGTGTGGGTTTTGAGAGGATCTATGTCTTTCCCAAAAGCAAACGAGAGGGTTCAATTCAACACCATCTAATTCAGTTCCTAGGACAATCACATTTCAGAAGGATCCCTGTGCTGATGGCCATGCCAGCATCCACGTGTAGAGCCCAGACAATGTCCGAAGCCAAGAGGCTCAATGAGCTGCCATATCCCCAGGCTTCAAAACCAATTGCTCAGGCACCATTGCAGGAGGATGATTTGGTCTGAGGCTGTGCTCAGGACCTTGGAGAGACAGAGCTGCAGACACTGTGGGTTCACACAGTGGAAGAAACAGGAGCACAGAAGACTCAAGAAGCCCCACTCTCTTCAAGTATCTGAAAAGCAACCACACCCCTAACCTATAAGGGAATTTTATGGGAATTAAGAGGTGCCTTTATCCCAAGACACTTTACTGCCATGTGCCAGAAAATTGTAATAGACATGTCCATGATTATGAGTTTATGACACCCCTAGCGTTGCGCAGTGAACAACCTGAATAATCTAAGCAATGACCCTTCAGAACAGAGTCACAGGAAAGGGATTATACATTCATTCTATGTGTCCATAAGGCTTATAGCTTTAATTAAATAGATTAAAAACTATAGATTCGATTCGCAAACCAAGAAGAACTTCCTAACCATCAGAGTTATCCAAAGACTAAATGGATTGTCTTGGGAGGCAGTGAGTTCCTCATCACTAGAAGCATTCAAGCATAGGCTGAAACACCATTTGGTAGGGTCTGGAGAGTGTTGGATAAGATCACCTTTAGCATCTTGAAATTCTGGGCTCTAGAAGAACTCTGACAGTAGCTTCTGATAGTTTGGCGAGGAGATGAAGGGTACCTGAAGCAGGCCACCCTGGGGCTCCAGAGTCTATCTTGAAGTTTTCCATCCTCCTCTGACTGTGGAGTACAGTGCAATGTAGAGTCTGGCCCTTTCTGCAAGGAGCAGGTTAGGTTTCAAAAACATCCCTGTGAGGTATCTGAGTTAACTTTACGTGGTGGTTGTGCTTTGATGGAATTTGTCAGACCCCTGCTTGCTTTTGACAAGAGTGTGGCTGAAGAAACACCGAGTCATGTCCATGGTCAGCTGCTCCTTTGGTTGGTCTTGCTGAAGACAGTGCATGGTGAGGGTCTCGCTGGAGCAGAAAGTGCACAGACCTCAGTCCCCAATGGGTGATGGAAGAGGTGGTCATCAAACAGCTCAGCCTCTGCCCATCTCCCCAAAGCAGGTGATGTGACAGCCCCACTGGCCTGCAGAAATGCCTCTTTGAAGCTGGCTTGGCTCTGCCCAGCAACACAGGCTGAGCCATCCATCAGCTGTCCTGTTGCCTGCCAGCAAGGGTCTCTGCTGGGCTTGCCCCGACAGCTGGATTGGAACCGTCAAATGCAGGTCGACAGGGCTGGGGTTTGGAGTAGGCCCTTGGAGGAGCCGTCTGTGCCGCGATGATGGATGACGCCAACAGGGACAGCATTCCAGGGATTTTTATTCCGTTCCACACATCTGGCAAACTATTTAACTGGAGCAGCTGCAAAGCCCCCATGGCAGGAACTCTGAGCTTTATCTGAGAGACCTTGGGCATGGACCATGGACGGCCTGGTCCAGTGAACTGGAGCATGTGCTAAAGATTTCCCAATGCATGCTACTTCCTGAAAGCTAAAACCCATGGAGTTTCATGAAACCAAACACAAGAGGCTCCAGGGCTCATAAACAGGCAAAAAATACTTGAAGTTAGGTAGAGCTGGGTTACAACGTTATCTCCTTCTGCCTTAGTTTTTTCCTATCTGTGAAATAGGAATAAAACCTACACTATAGGGTTGTTTTTAAAGTTAAATAAGATTATGTGTAAAACACATTTATTTAGTATGATGTCCAGTACATAGAAAATACTCAATACAAATAACCTATTATTAGGATTATTTGGGCGAACTTTCATCATTCTTCCTGATAAATTCTAGAAACAGAGTCTGATATGTAGACAAATCCACGAGAATTTCTTTTTATATCTAATAAAATGTTTCTGACAGCTGCCCCATTCTTCCTTTTCTTTCTCTTCCTTTTCAATAGCCTGGAAAAAGTTTCAAATAATCTATATTTCAACCCAGAGTGGTTCCTCTAAGTCTATCAAAGGAACCAAATCTCATGTCAATCTGTGATCCTTCTCCACCCGGGAAAACATTTGCACATGTTTCTAGACTCCTCAAGCAACCCTGGCTGTGCAGTGGTTAAGCGCTCAGCTACTAACTGAAAGGTCGAAGGTTCGAACACACCAGCAGCTCCATGGGAGAAAGGACCTGACCATCTGCTCCCATAAAGATTATAACCTCGGAAATCCTATGGGATGGTTCTACTCTGTCCTACAGAGTCACTGTGAGTCAGAATTGATGGCACGCAGCAACAACATAGAGCTCATCGGGCATTTTCTTCACCAAGTAACTCTGACCCAAATTTCACATCGTTTCTTTCCTGAATTCTCCATTTACTCTGCCCTGGTTGCGCAGTGGTTAAGCACTCAGCTGCTAACTGAAAGGTTGGTGGTTCGAACCCATCAACTGCTCTGCAGGAAAAAGATGTGGCAGTCTGCTTCTGTAAAGATTTACAGTCTTGGAAACCCTATGGGGCAGTTCTACTCTGTCCTATAGGGTCGCTATGAATCAGAATCGACTTGACGATAGTGGGTTATTTATTTATGGGTAAACACCATCTTTGCTGGCAGAGCAGTGTGGTGGCCAATCAGAAGGCGGGGGCAGGGGGGCTTGGCCACAGAGGGACAACTCCATCCGTCAAGTGACTAACTGCATGTGGAAGTCTGTGCTGAGCACTGTAGGGTAGAAAGAGGAATAGACATGGTGCTTTTTCTTACTTTTACTCTCCAAAGAAAAAACAAACTACCATTGAAACCAACTATCTAGGTTGGGGAAACAAATCCAAGAGACCAAGTTTCAATATTAATCCCTTGAGAGAAGATGCCATCTGACTTCTTCCAGCCATCAAACCTAAGATTCTGCAGCCAACTGGACCACTGAGGAATGCTGTTGCATCTGAAATTCTTATCCTCCTAGCAACCCTGTATCAATCAAGCCCTGTGTATCAGTTCATTATTACTGTATAACATACTATCCCAAAACTTATTGACTTAAACCGTTACCCATTTATTTAGATTATAATTCTTTGGGTTGGCAATTTCGGCTGAGTTCAGCTGTGCGGTTGTGGTCTCGGCCAGGCTCACCTGATCTTGGCTGGGCTTGCTCAGTGTTTGCAGTCAACTGGTAGATTGGCTGGTGTCTCATTTTCTGATTTTGGATGGCTCTTCTCATATGATTGAAGTCTCAGCTGGGACCACTCAGCCTGCTGCTGCTCTATGTGGTCTCTTCTTCTCCTGCAGAATAGGCAGAACTTGTTCACGTGGAAGTCACAGGAGTCCAGGAAAGAGAAAGGATGCATGCAGGGCTTTTTAAGGCCCGAGCCTGGAGCTGACACACTGTCTTTCTACAACATGCTGTTGGTCAAAGCAAGTTCCAAGACCAGACGAGATCCAAGGCATGGGGAAATGGACTCCATCTCTTCATGGGAGGAGTTATAAAGTCACATTGAAAATGGTGTGGATACAGGGACGAGTGGAGAATCTGGGCCATTTTTGTAATCAATCTACCACACTCTGGAATGGGGTTTCAATTTGCTCATATTGCACTAAAGTTCCAGTGTGGAACTTGAGGTTGCCAGGCCTAAACTTGGCTACATTTAGCTCCCCTACCTCTTCACTACCCATTCATCTCCTCCCTTGGCTGGGTTTCTTCCCCACCCAAACCTGACTGAAGGCACCTGTGAGGGCAGAGAACACTCCCCGTTTTATTTGTATAATTCTCTACTGTCCCCAGTGCCTTCTCACTTCTGCCATAATACTCGACCCACTGTAGATCCACAATACAGTTTTCTCAAATAGACAACGGGATTAAGTGCCATTAGAAAAGACAAAATGAATTTTAAATTTGGGCATGGAGAAACTCTCCCAGATATTGCTACTCTAAAGCATCTTAAAACATATTGCAACCCAACCTCAAATGTAAGGAGCTTGGTACCTTCCTTTGCACAGCCCTCAACTGGACAGCTTCTTCCATCTTGGTGAACTGAGACCTCCAGACCTATGCTGCTTCCATCCACCTCAACCAAGGACTCTAGGTCTTAGAGAATGTGTGTTGTGTGCGTGTATGTTGTGTGTTGTCAAGTTGATTCTGACTTATAGTAACCCTATAGGACAGAGTAGAACTGCCCCATAGGGTTTCCAAGGCTGTAATCTTTATGCAAGCAGACTGCCACATCTTTCTTCTGCTGAGTGGCTGGTAGGTTCGAACCGCTGACCTTTCAGTTAGCAGCCGAGCACTTAACCACTGTGCCACGAGGGCTCCTTCCTAGAGAATACCAAACCAAACTAAACCCACTGCCATCGAGTCAATTCCAACTCGTAGCGACCCTATAGGACAGAGTAGAACTACCCCCTAGGGTTTCCAAGGAGCGCCTGGTGGATTTGAACTGCCGGCCTTTTGGTTAGCAGCCGTAGCATTTAACCACTAGGAGGGGTTTATTTCACTGCTTAGCAGGAGTAAGATTCAAAGTCTAAGTGTTATATTGTCTCTTTAGCTTCACTGAGAGATGAGCAGACCTTGTTAACAGGGTTGGAGCCAAGTCACAATCCTCCAACAGACATTCCATCCATCCCCTGTCTCTTGGGAAAGTCACACCATCTGATCTACATAAGAATCTTCCAAATTTCTGAATATCTTAACAAGTGGTAATTCTAAATGGCCTCACCAAGATTAACCAGTTTGATCCTCAACCTGGGAGTGATAGGAGAAATTATGGACACAAACTAATGGGCACTTATCTATAAACATCTGTTGGAAAACAAACACCAGCTCTCCAAAGACAAAAGAAAGAAAGAAATGATGCAATCATCCTATTACCAAACCCCATTGTTTCCCCCAGATGTCAGTTTGAAATCTTTCACATCAAACTCAGGAAAACTTTTTTTTTTCCCTCTCTCTCTCACTTTTCTCACTCTCTGCTTTATCGTGCTAGATGGAAGAAAACTTTACTTGCTCCTGGAAGACAATGGCCTTATCATCAACCTAGATCCTCGTCCCTGGAAAGGTGGCCCTCCTCTGGGAGCATTTTCATAGTGGGGGAAAGCAGCTCAGGAGAAATAATGAGCAAGCAAAGGGAGTCTTGACTTGACACTGTGATAAATGAGGTAAAACTTTGGCAAGGAACCAGACTTGGCATATTCAAAAAAGAAATAAAAAGATAGTTCCATTTTAATAGGAAATATAAAACAGCCATTGTGCAAAAGTCGATTTTTCAAAAGCCAAAGAGATAAAGACTATAACAGAATGACTGAGAGCCGAGTAAGATAATGTGGTTGATAATCAGGCGTAGGTACAGTGCCATCCTCCAAGCTATCAGCCGCTCTGTGGGAGTGCCTTTTCAAGTAGGCTATCTGCATTTGCTCTTGCTTCATTATCATATGCATCTCTGGACAGCTTCCTTACAGCTTCGACTTGCCGACTTGCCACACTCCCGCCAGACAGAAAAGTCAACCCAACTTTCTTCAAATCCCAAACTTCTCTCCACGAGCCACAGAGTTACCAGTATCTCCCAAGGCCCCAGAGACCAAGGAGCTTGAGTCCTGCTTTACTCCCACCTGCTTTTCCTGTTTAACTGGCATGAGGTTGACAACTGGGGGCAATACAGTACTCTGTCTTCTGTATTATTGGACAAGATCCATGTGCCTTTTCAAGGCTGACCTTGGGAAACTCCTAATTAGCAGGCTGGATAGTCAATGGGGTTGGCTGGCCCTTTTCCAAAGGGCAAGTGTGGATGAATCCAAGGCGGTATAAGATGTCAGTTGAGGCAGTTGGGCACTGAGGTTAAGCCACTGTGGTTTAGTGATTACCTGGAGACAAAATGCCTGAGTTCATATCTTGCTACTCATAAGCTGTGTGACCTTGGGCAAGTTACTTAACCTCTTTGAGCCTCAGGTTTCTCAGCTTAAAATAGAGATCATAATACACCTCCCAAATTGTCATGAGGCTTAACACAGGGCCTGGTACATAGTAAAGGCTCAATAAATGGTAACAGTTGTGATGACTCTATAGCTACAACTTGGGAGTCGTTTTATGCTATGACCAAGAGGAAAATGACCAGTTCCTTTGACTTCATTAAGCTAAAGTGATTAATAAAGTCCCACTGAGAAATAGCATTCACAGACTCAACCAAGAATACACTCAAGTGCCACTTGATCTGACTCTGGGTAGATCCCACATAGGACCTGGAGACCTTCTAGACTCCATTCCTCTTCCTGCTGCGCACAGATGAGAAGACAGAGGCACCAAGAATACAAGTGGCTTGTCCAAGGTCACACAGTTAGTGCAAAGCCATTGAATTGGTCTCCTCCTGTCCAATAAGGTGCTCTTGAATCTGCCAAATGCCAACGCTGCCTTGCTAGTCTTACCCTCCCCCAGATGAAAACTCACAGTACCTGCCCGCACCCTGCCCCCACAAGGGTGCCTGACCCCGCCCGGTCCCCCACCAGTGTGAAGACAAGAAAGACAAATGATTCTTCCTTTAGGACTTCAAACTCTTTGGAAAAAAGATTTTCGACTAAAGAAAATCCTGACTTCTTTGGGTCTAATGAGGGTTTCTTCTTACTATTACCTTCCTCCAGACTGGACTCCTGACAACTACGAGTATAGCTACGAATACTATGACCAGAAAGAGAACACCACTAGTACGTTTACCTACACGGAGAATCCTGACTGGTACTACACGGAGGATGGTAGGTAGCAAATCTGGTTCTGGAGGCCCTCCTGTAAGAGGCAGCTCACCTGGAGAGGAGTTGATGGGTGGCCATATGCAAGGGCCTCTCTCTCTCTTCCTCTCTGACCAGCATTGTAAAAGAGATATCAAAGAAATGATTTAGACTGAATTCTCTTAAGTTAGAATTATACAGTATGAGGCCTGGGGAGGTTCTTAGGGACCATCTCTCAAACGACAGATGAGGTGAGTGAGGCCAAGAGGAAAACTGACTTCGTCAAGGTCATATGGCAAGTTAGTGCATCACAATCCAGATCTCGAGGCTCCCAGTCTAATAAGCTTTCCACTTCCACGGCCTGACACTGTGAGTAGGAGTCATGTACGAAATCATCCCATAGCTTTGATTGCAGGTCAGAAGAGCCTGTGTTAGCGTTTGGCATCAGACCATGGCATTAGCAAATTTGGCAATGGACTTGCTTTTCTTTTCACCTTCGCTGTTTTCCTTTCCCCTCTCATTCTTCAGAAGCATCCAAATTTATGGTGTGTGTGTGTACTCATACATGTATACTTCTACCACACTTGTATTTGTGGCTTTGTCACCCAAGCAATCAGGACAGAGAGAAAAATGAGAAGCAGGACCCCAGCAAACCACGTGACTAAGCCAGGAGAAGGAACGGAAAGCACTTAGTAGCTAGAATAAAAGCTGTGTTAACTGTGCGAAGTGGCCTGGAAGGCAGGGCCAAGATATGGGGCATCGGGGGAACATCAGAAGGGACCATCAAAACAAGAGCTGGGCCCAGGGATCCTAGTTCCTGAACCAAAGAACAATGTGTGTGAACAGAAGGATAAAAATTCCCCAAGGGAAGAGCCATTCAGACAACCATGAAAAGCCAAAGGCACAGATGAAATATGACAAAATCTAACTGAACAAGTAGTTGAAGAAAGATGAAGGCCACTGGGTCATTTCCTCCTCGCCGTCAATTCCTCTGTCACCCTCGTGCCTTTGGTCTTCTTTCCTGATGTTCAGAAAGCTTGCGTTTCATTAGGGGTGGGTGTTCTTTCCCCACTCCTGACCTCCACCCCTGGGCACTGGGAGTAGGGGAGGTCTTCAGGCTTGTGAAATGCCTTCAGCATCAGAGACAGACCCCGTGGCCCTCCCAGTGAGACAGGGAGGAGAAAAACACTGATGGTGGGAAGGGGAGTTTCTCAATGAGAAAGGCCCCATCCAAAGCCAGGCCAAGGAGAGACAGCTACGATTCCTTCTCGCCTGTCCTCTTGCGAGCCTGAATTCCTTTCTCTGGTTCATGACTGCAGTTTTCCTTGCTCCTTAGGGATGATGGATGTTTCTTCCTTTCCCCAGTCACTGGTTATATGCTTATATGGTTTCTCATTTGAGGCCAGAGGTTGAAATTAGATGAGTGTATGGGGACTTCTGACCTGCTATTAATTGCAAACACTGACTCCTGCCCATGTATCTTAGATCCATGCCAGCCCAACCCCTGTAAGCATGGTGGGGACTGCCTCGTCAATGGGAACACCTTCACGTGCAGCTGCCCAGCCCTTTTCTCTGGGAACAAGTGTCAGAACGGTGAGTGCCTTTTCCCCAGATTCTCTCTTCCTCTGAGATGAGCAAGAGGCAGTTCCTCCTCCAACTCTAGGGGGTAAAGAAGGGCCAAGTGGTTCGACAGAAAGGATTACAACTGCACGTATGGTATCATGTATAATGGATTCCTCAGCCTGCTCACAGGCAGCATCTCACTGAGTCCTCACCCTGCACTGTGATATGATACTAGTATATCCATTCTACAGATGAGAGGATTGAGGCTAACAAGGTATAAAAGCTGGGCTCTGACCAAGGTACATTCCAAACCCAGGACATTTTTTTAGGGTGTTTAGACTAACAACAACGGGGAAACAGCATCCTTAAATGAGAGAGCAGGAAGGATCTCAGGGCACATAGGGCCCAAATCCGCAGCTAAATGGAGCCAGAGAGTGCAGGGGACTTGCCCACAGTCATGCAGCTAGTTAGGAGGAGAGCAGGAATTAGGGCCTGGTGCCCATTCCCGGCCCAGTGCTCTTTCCTCTTGTCATCCTCACTCATGGAAACACTGATAAAATCTGTGTCTGCCTTCAGTGAGCTTGAGTGGGCATAGCATGAGGCCAGAAGACAGAGCACTGAGGTTAGAACTCCTACAGGCTAATTACACACTTACGGAGAACTAGGATTCTGTTCAAATTAGCAACACTCTAACTGGAGGGGCTGTTGTTTCGTAGGTGCTGCTGAGTTGATTTAGACTCAGATAGACCTCACCTGGTCAGAGCAGAACTGCTTCATAGGGTTTTCTAGGCTATAATCTTTATGGGAGCAACTCTGTAGGAGAGATCAGAGGCATAGTAAAGGTCTTATGTATTTATAGGGTCCTCTGGTTGGCTTCTTTTCTCTGTGGTCCCTTCATCAATTATTCCAATTTTCAATCCTTTAGTTCCTTAATAGGAGCCCTGGTGGTGCAGTGCTTGAGGGCTACAGCTGCTAATCAAAAGATCAGCAGTTCAAGTCCACCAGCTGCTTCTTAGAAACCCTATGGGGCAGTTCTACTCTGTCCTACAGGGTTGGTGTGAGTCAGAATCGACTCGAATGCAATGGTTTTTTTTTTTTTTTTTTTTAGTTCCTTAATAAATGTTTCAGGATATTAAGCATGAACATAGTATCTGGAATGAGTATGAAGGCTCAAACTTCAGCTTCTCAGAAGAATAATGTATGTGTAAAAGAAACATGAATCAGCTACAAAATGCAGAAACTCAAATTGCAGCTGTGTTTATTTAAAGTGTAAAAAAATCAGCGTTTTTTACAAAGATAGAGAACAAAAGACTATGAGCATGGGGAGAAACTGGGGAGGAATCATCACTGACCCCAAGATAAGAGAAAAAAAGCCTTTCCTGGTGTAATATGGCATTTTCAGGACCACGGACAGGGGCATATGTAATCGCACTCTGCCACCTACCCACCCTCACCCCCAAACATCGTACTGGTGCATGTCTATGATGGAGTCCCTGAGTGGTACAAACAGCTAACACACTCAGCTGTTTACCAAAAGGTTGGAGGTTCAAGTCCATGCAGAGATGCCTCAGAAGATAGACTTGGGATCTACTTACAAAAAAATCAGCCGTTGAAAACCCTATGGAGCATAGTTCTACTCTGACATACATAGGGTCTCCATGAGTTGGAGGTGACTCAACAGCAACCTGTATGCTATGATACAGAGTTATTCCTCTAAGTCAAATACCCCCAAATAACGCCCTACTACTTTGCCGCCACTTCTCTATGAATATTCCACAGTGCAAAACAAGTGCAAGAACCGCCAATGTGGCCACGGTAAATGCCTCATTATCAAGAGCCCTCCCTACTACCAATGCACCTGTAAACACCCTTACACGGGTCCAGACTGCTCCAAAGGTAAGTGGCCCCTTCTGGCCTAGCCTTTCTCTGCCTAGTCTGTGTCTCGGTCTCTGCATCCTCCTAGGTGGAAGTCCAGATGGATATGATGTTTTCATGGCATCCAAGATAGCTCTTTTAACTAGGATTTGTTAAGATTGGTTATCCCTGGAGAGCTTAGTGGGAAATGACTGATATGTGTCTCTTCTCATCCAAAAAGAGTCATCTTGAAACTCATTTCCTCCAGGAAGCAGGCCCTGGTCTATTCCTGGGATGGGCCATGTAGGGGAATTAACATATATTGAGCCACTGCTATGAATCAAGCACAGTCCCAGGAGAGTCACATTCCTTCTTACGTTCTACCAACAACACTGCAAGGAAGAGTTTTACAGATGAAGAAACTGAAGTTCAGAGAAGTTAAATAACTAGCTTATGGTCACACAGCTATCAAGGGACAGAGCCAAGTTTCAACCTAGCTCAGAGTGGTTACAAAATTCATGCTTGGTCCATGTCTTTGTTCTTCCTTACTGAGGGACCCATCTACTCTTTATGCATGATTTTCATCCACATTGCTTCATTCATGTTTGCTCATGTTCTTAAAGTTTATGTGTACGTTTACTAGAGTGTCGATGGGTCTGTCTTTCCCCTTTGGTGACCCATCTTTTGTGAAAGGATGGACACCAGAAGAGTGCAACCAATATCTCATGGTCATCTCAGATGTAGCTTCAACTCTGTCTGAAGAGCCTTCCTGGCCCACTTCCTGTGTTCACAGTGGTTCCTGTGTGTTGGCCAAACCCCTGCCAAAATGGCGGTACCTGCTCCAGGCATAAGCGGAGATCCAAGTTTATCTGTACCTGCCCTGACCAGTTCAGGGGGAGATTTTGTGAAATAGGTATGAGTCTCTGCCACTACTGCATCGGAAACTCAGGGCTACAAGGGAGGTCCCTGGAATTTTGTTTGGGTTTTGTTGTCAGAATACGGTTCATGTTAAGTTTCCCATACTCTGCTACTGTCTCAACCTTCCAGCCTAAGGACATAAGGTGTGCTTGGCTCCATATAAGGAAAGTAATAAACTGGGATGTAGTGCAGGGCAAAGCAAACACACCTGTTCACCCATGGGCCTCAACCCACCCTCCAACAGTTCTTGTGTGAGCCAAACTTGAGGAGCTATCCCTCCACCCCTTCATCATTTAAAGCTGAATTGAAGGTAGAACAGTCAAGACACTTTCTTTCTGGGACTTTGGGGTGAAATCTCAGGGTGGTAAAAATTTAGATCCAATCCTATCACCACTTGATACGCCCACCTTTTTGGGAGCAGCATACCAGTTGCCATTAGTTCTCACATCCCTGCCTGCTCTCTTCAAGGTTCTGATGACTGTTATGTTGGTGATGGCTACTCTTACCGAGGAAAAGTGAGTAAGACAGTCAACCAGCACTCATGCCTTTACTGGAACTCCCATCTCCTCTTGCAGGAGAATTACAACATGTTTATGGAGGATGCGGAGGCCCATGGGATTGGACAGCACAACTTCTGCAGGTAAACATTACTTTCTTCCCAATGTTCAAGCTTGGCCACTTGCCAGTGTAAGGGTCTGTTTGTCCTTTTTCTCTGCTCCCAGTGTTCCTGGGCCAGCGTAGAAATTCTGGAACTGAGCCACAAATTCATCAGCTTTCTTTCTAGGAAGGTTGCCCTACTCAGGATAGGCTAGGTTACACTGCTGTAACAAATAACCCCCAAATCTCTGTGGCTCAAATACATCAAAGTTTATTTCTTGTTAATGTTATGTGTGTCATGTGGGTTGGTGGGGATGGCGGGGTTGGGGGTGGGACTCTGCTCCACAAAGTTACTCAAAAGCCCAAGGATGGCAAGGAGAGACTGGAAAATAGAGCAGAGCATGGCTGCGCTTTACTACCCCAACCTAGAAGTGACACATCATCTCTCTACACACATCTCATTGGTCAGTAGTCACATGGCCTCACAACTTCAAGAAAGAAATGCAGAGAAGGAAATAGAATGTTTAGTGAGCATTACAGTCTTCCACAAAAGATGTTCAGGTTTTCTCCAGTAAGGATAATGCCATCACTCTCTCTGGTGATGCTTTTAGTTACCTTCTTCCTCTCCTGTTGCCTCCAGACCTCTCTGTTGCTCCCTCTCACTACACTTGGGGTAATCCAGGTCAAGGACATATATGATTTTTATATAAGGGGTAGAGTTTCTTCGCATGGCTTTAAACTGGTTCCATTAAGCAACTAGGGTTTCCCTTGCACAAAACAGAAGTTACATCCACTTTCACTCCCCTGAGTTGCTGGCTTGTGGAGCTGTCTTCAGGGTTGCCCCCTTGGCAATGGCTGTCAAAGATTCCCATGTGTCTTATTTATCTAGTGTTGCTGTAACAGAAATACCACAAGTGGATGGCTTTAACAAACAAAAATTTATTCTCTCACAGTCTAGGAGGCTAGAAGTCCAAATTCAGGGAGTCAGCTCCAGGGGAAGGCTTTCTCTCTCTGTCAGTTCTGGGGAAAGGTCCTTATCATTAAGCTTGCCCCAGTCTAGGAAATTCTCACCTTCAGGGACCCCAGGACCAAATGTTGCCCTCCACTCCTGGCTCTTCTTGCTTGGTGGTAATGAGATCCCTCTCTTCTCTGCTCAATTCTCTCTTTTATGTCTTAAAAGAGATTGACTTAAGATATAACTTGATCCTATAGACTGAGTCCTGCCTCATTAACATAACTGCCTCTAATATTGCCTCATTAACATCATAGAGGTTAGGATTTATGACACATAGGATAATCACATCAGATCAGAAAACGGTGGACAACCACACAATACCGGGAATCATGGCCTAGCCAAGTTGACGCACATTTTGGGGGGACAGAATTCAATTTCATGTGTTCCATTCAATGCATGGAATTAGAGATTCAGGCAGAGGAGCCCCACTCTGAGCATGTTTCTGTGGATATTTCACTTTCCTGACAAAGAAGTGTCTTAAATGGGGATCTCATTTCTCTTCCTACACACTATCTGATATGTTCCATGGAACTGACACAAGCCCTGTGCACTACTTCCTGGTCATTGGAATTCTCCTCTGGAAGTTTAAGGCTTTGCTGAAAAACTAGGACCACTCTTATATCCCACGGCTTGCTAACCTTTTGGAGGATTCAATGGAATGTAGTTCCCACAGGAGTGTAAGACTTTGGTGTCCTTTAATGAGATCCAGTGGGTGTGCCAAGCCTTATCCCTGTTTTTGCTTTTTAAGAAATCCAGATGGAGATAAAAAGCCCTGGTGTTTCATCACAGTGAGCAATGCAAAGTTGAAATGGGAGTACTGTGACGTCTCGGCCTGCTCAGCCCTAGGTAAGGCCGCGGCTTCCTGGAGACCCAGGCAGTGGGAATGTTGAAGATACATAGACAGATGTTCCTGGTACCTCTTCCCTCCCACCCCTGTGCTCCCACCACACCTGCTTTACCAATCCCCATCCTAGAGACAACCCAACTGCCTGAGTCCCCTACTCCTCTCTCAGTATGCTGAGCGGGCCTGGATACATTTGTAAACCCAGGCCAAGTGGTCCAACTGTAAATTCATGCTTTCTAACTCTAAGTCAGTGCCCTCAGCAAATATCTGTTGATCATTTGCTGTGTTGCAGGCAGCCTGCCAGGACCTGGGCAGACAATGATGGATAAATATTGGCTGGGCCCCCACAACTACTCAAGATGCAACATAGTCTAAATTCCAGCCTCACAGCTGGGCTGTCCTAGCCCACATTTCTACCCATACTTGGGAGGATGCATCCCCTCACCTTAGCCAAATTACCTTCCTGAATAGTTTCTTCTGTGCCTTCACTTCTATGATCCCCTCTGTCTATAATACTCCATCCCACATCCTCTCTTGTCCATAGCCAACAATTCTTTGAAGCCCAACTGAAATGTCCCCTCCTCCCGGAAGTCCTCCCTCTTCTTCCAAATGCAGTGTTATTTATCTCTTCTACCTTATAACTTCTACCTTCTAACTGGAAAGGGGCACCATCCAGCCAGCACTTATCACTTTCTCCTTTGCATCACAGTTATCTGGGCAAATGTCTTATCTCCTCTACTCCACTCCATTTGGATATCCTCCCACTCTACACCTAAAACAACAACAACAAAAAAGGAGCCCAGGTGGTGCAGTGGTTAAAACACTCAGATGCCAACTCAAAGTTTGCTGGTTTGAACTCACCAGCCACTCCTGTGAAAGATGTGGCAGTCTACTTCCATCGAGATTCATAGCCTTGGAAACCATATGGGGAAGTTCTTTCCTGTCCTATCCAGTCACTATGAGTTGGAATTGACTCAAAGGCAGTGGGTTTGGTTTTGGGTGATGCGGTGGTTTAAGCAGTCAGCTGCTAACCAAAAGGTCAGTGGTTTGAACTCACCAGTGGCTCCGTGGGAGAAAGATGTGGCAGTCTGTTCCCATAAAAATTACAGCCTTGGAAACCCTATGGGGCAGTTCTACTCTGTCCTATAGGGTTGATATGAGTTGGAATCAATTTGATGCCAATGGGTTTATACCTAAAAAGTACCCAGAATATATGTGTGGATTAATTAATAGCTAATCACATACCCAATGACAGATTTATATATTTACACACACATCTCTGTGTGTGTGTATGCATGTTCTAGGAGTAACACAGTTTGACCTACTTTGAAATAAGGAAAAAGCAACATCTTCATTGGTAATTGCATAGACTGGCGTATATTAATCAAATGATTCAATGAATATTAACTGTATACCTACTACTTGCCCACCCTGTATGCACCAGTGCAGGCTCTTAGCTCTGGACACTTGTTAAGCTGCTGGATTCAGAGTCATACTTCTGAGTAGTTCTTCCTGAGGAGCTAGAGAGAGGTTGAGTAGCTGTAACTGGTCTTTATTGTCCCACAGACATTGTCGACCCAGAGGGAAGCCCCATGGAGCCCGTGGCCAAGCCTCCAGGGTTTGACTCCTGCGGGAGGATTGAGACAGTGGAGAAGAAGTTCAAGAGGATCTACGGAGGCTTTAAGAGCACAGCGGGCAAGCACCCGTGGCAGGCATCCCTGCAAACCTCGATGCCACTGACCCACTCCATGCCCGAGGGCCACTTCTGTGGGGGGGCACTGATCCACCCCTGCTGGGTGCTCACTGCAGCCCACTGCACTGAGTAGGTCCACTGCAAGCAGAGGCTGGGGTGACCCGGATGGATGGGAGTGCCCTCCTTCCCATCTGAGCAGCATCTCAGTAGCTCAGGCAGGATTGGGGCCCTGACCTGGTCCCAAGGGCCAAAGAACAGCTCGTTAAAACCAGATATAAACTAGCTATCAAGTCTAAAGTGCTTGCCATATGCAAGGATTATGTCATTTAATTCTCAAAACGACCAACTGGAAGACAAGCTGAGGGATGGTACAGAATTTTTTCTGTGTTTTTAATTCCAGTATCCCCAATGCCTAGAACAGGTCTCAGTACATAGCAAGTGCTACATACTAAGTAAATATTTGTTGAGTGAAAGAGGTGATTGTTATTTCCATTTCATAAATGAGGACCCTGCGTCTTGGAAAGGCTTATCACCTTGCCTAAAACCCATTGCCGTCGAGTTGATTCCAACTCATGGCGACCCTATAGGACAAAGTAGAACTGCCCCATAGGGCTTCCAAGGAACAGCTGCTGGATTTGAACTGCCAACCTTTTGGTTAGCAACCAAGCTCTTAACCACTGCACCACCAGGGTTCCTTGTCTAAAGTCATGTGCAAAGTAAGTGGGATAGTAGAAGGTGATCCCAGACGTACCTGCTTCCAAAGCCCATGCCCTTAATGTCTTGGGTCCTGTCCTGGACAAAGGAAATAACATGCTTTCCACAATCTGACACCATCACCAATAAGCCTCCTGGGCCAGGCATCTTCCAGCTAGGCCTTCTGTGCACTTCGGAAGCAAGCACCTTCTGGAGCACATGAAGAATCCCTAAGTTCACAGTCAGGGCTGGTCCCACAAAGTCCATGTTTTTGTAGGTGACCTTGAAAGTCCTCCAGTCCACCTTGTTATTAAACAAGTTCTTCTGGGAGTCTAGGAGATTATCCTCAGGAGAGGTCAATCATGCAATCATTAACACCTACCAATAGATTATAGGAGATTTGTTTGAGACAGTAGTTGGATTTTCTTTAGCAAGGCCAAGGTAGAATGGGAGGGTGCTGGGAAAAGCAGGAATAAAAGTTGTGCTTGCAGACTGCTTTCATTAATAAAGCAAAAAAGAAGTTTCATTACCTTATCTTATTTGGACCACATAGTGAAGTTCTTCTTGGGAGAAGATGATTATAGATGAGGATGCTGAGGCTGCAGAAGGTTTGGTACTTTGCCAACGTCACAGAGCTAGCTCACCAGGAGCAGAGCCAGGGTTTGGTCCCAGTAAGTCAAATCCCAGGCTATTTCCTAACCATCTTATTTTCCTTTGCAGCATAAAAGTCAAACATCTGAAAGTGGTGCTAGGGGACCAGGACCTGATGAAGACAGAATTCCATGAGCAGAGATTTGGGGTGGAGAAGATCTTTAAGTACAGCCACTATAATGAAAGAGACGAGATTCCCCACAATGATATTGGCAAGTCTCTTCTCTGGTAGACCTCCCATGGGTCTTATCCTAAGTGGATTTCTCTACTGAGGTTTGATTTTAGCAGATGCCCTTGATATTTATGGTCCCTTGTAGACTCTGTAAGGTAGAGAATTTATTCCAGAGCTTTGTAGTTCTTAAAAGTGTGTTAGTGTGGTAGATAAGTCACAAGTTCTTAAATTGAAGGGAAGAGATGCTAACAACGTTGTGTTGTACAAAAAGGTTGGCCTTGAATCCCAGCTCTGACCCTTACTAGCCAGGTTCACCTCCTCAGTTCCCTCTTCCATAAAATGGGAATGTTGATGTCCAACGCTCAGCTTCCTATGTGTTAAATGACACAAAGTGCATGTGACCTACCTAGCACCTGGTAGGTACCCAGGTGCAGAGGCAATATTATTCTTCAGCTACTTGCTGCTCAGTTCTGTACCCTATTTCTCCATTTATGGGGCCTTGCTCTCTCTGTCTTTCCTCAATAGGCTTTTCCCTCTCAGAGCCTGTTTTAAAAGACGGATTAGAAATAATTTCAAACTCAACTATTATTTCTTGATACTACTCTCAGCCCAAAGAGCTACTCCTCTCCAGGTAGAAGGTAAAGAAATGACATGACTGAGGAATAAGGTTTTCAGGCATTCGGGTGGGGTTCTGCTACAACCACCTTCCAATTAAGAAGTTGATGTTTCTTTGACTAGGGAGGGATATCAGTCTCCTATTTCCCTTCTTATCTCTCCATGTAGCTTTGCTCAAGTTAAAGCCAGTAGATGGTCACTGTGCTCTGGAATCCAAGTATGTGAAGACGGTGTGTTTGCCTGATGGTCCCTTTCCCTCTGGGAGCGAGTGCCACATCTCTGGCTGGGGTGTTACAGAAACGGGTGAGTTTGGCCATGCATCCTCCTGAGGCTCAGGTGAGCTACAGCAACCGGAGAAGAAACGGTCAAACTCAACTGCCCTTCTGAACTCAAAATAGTTTCGTTTTCAAAATGTTTTGTCAAAAGAAAGAATCTATCTCAACTTTCAAATTCTAGTTTAAATCTCACCACTTCCAAGGAGTCTCCCCTGATATCCAAATCTGACCTGTCCTCTACCCCTAGATACTTGACTTGTATTAGGCATTGATCCTGTATCCAAAGACACCTATCTCCTGCCCTAAGTTTGGAAAGAACATGGATTTGGGAGTCAGACAGACTTGAGTTAGATTCCTAGCTTTCTTGTTTGGACAACTGAGTTTTAGCTTCCCAATAATCATACTTACCTCCTAGGTATGAAATCATGATCACAGGAGATGGCAGGATCCAACAGAGCGATTTATTAAATCAGCTCCCCGAGGGGAGGGGTCAAGTCTCATTCATCTTTTTCTCTCCCACAGTACTTTGTACAGGGCTGTACACATAGTAGATGTTTTATAACATCTTGTTAAATGGAACTGTTGATTTATTTATATGATTTGGTCTGATCTAAAAATAAGGTTATTTTTCTCATAGTCCTGAAAACACTATGTCCTCCAATCCAAATAAATTCAGAAGGGTATTTCAAATCTTTTCCAAATACTCAACATACATTTCTTTTCTCCTCAAATCTTGTCCTTCACAATGGAAGGTAAGAATCACTTTAAATAGATCTATATTCATGAAGAAACTGGAATGTAATATACAAATTTGTCAGAAGGCTTTTGAAAAAAGAGGCTTCTGACTAATCGGATTTAAGGTCAACCAGAAAACCCTTTTTGTAGCTACTTTCACTATAGTCAATCTAAACCTTTTGACCTCTATTCTGCTTAAGTATGATCTAGTCAACATGATGATGTCTTAGATGGGAACTTATGGGGCCTCAGGTCAGAATGATTTTGTCTTTCATGAATAGACCTCTAAGACTTCATGTTCAAAGTCGGTAGCATGTTTTGACTGAGTTCATTATCTTAAGGAAAGCAGATGAGGCATTGGTGGTTCAGTGGTAGATTCTGGCCTTCCATGCAGGAGACCTGGGTTCAATTCCCAGCCACTGCACCTCATGCACAGCCACCATCCATCTGTCAGTGAAGGCTTGCACGTTGCTGTGATGCTGAACAGGTTTCAGCAGAGCTTCTAGACTAAGACAGACTAGGAAGAAAGGCCTGGTTATCTACTTTTGAAAATCAGCCCATGAAAGCCCTATGGATCACAACAGTTCGATCTGCAACCGATCATGGGATGGTGCAGGACCAATCAGTGTTTTGTTCTGTTGTGCACAGTGTCAACATGAGTGGAGGCTGGCTCGATGGAAGCTAACAACAAAAACAAGTAGGGGGAGGAAATGCCTGCCCGGGGCAGCACATGATCAATTAGGACACTTCATCCAGCCCTCCATGCCTCCATCCATTCATTCATTAAGAATCTATTATGTGTCAGCCCTTCTGGTAGGCACAGGAGATTAAGAATTGTTAAGACACCATCCCTGACCACCAGGACCTCAGGGTCTGGTTGGGGAAATAAAAATGATTCCTCTCCATTGGGATAAGTGTGGTAATGCAGGTCTGGTGAAAGCTGAAGAGAAAGCCCCTACACTGCCTGCTTAAATGGGGGCCCCAGCCTTGGGCAATGAGACTTCCCTGCCCATCTCCCTGAAAAACCCTTCTTTCCTGACCTTCTCTGCCCATCTCCCTGAAAAACCCTTCCTTCTTGGCCTTCTCCTACCATTTCTGATTTTTTTTTTTTGACCAAGAAATTTATTTTTTCTGAGTAATATCTGTTTATATTAGAGTCTGTCTGGAAATCATTCTTCAATGTAGTAATCATTTAGTGCTACATAGATGCTCTTTTCATTTGAATAATTTTCTTTTTTTTCAAATAATATTTCATTGTGTTTTTGGTGAAAGTTTACACAGCAAATTAGGTCGCCATTTGACAATTCCTACACAAATTGTTCAGTGACATTAGTTGCATTTTTCACAATGTGTCAAATGTTCCCTTTAATTGTGTTTTGAGTGTTCCGTTTCTAGGACTCTAGCTTCCCTGCCCCCTCATCTTCTCATCTTTGCTTTAGAGTAATTGTTGACCTTTTGGTCTCATATAGACGGTTTTTTAATGGAGCACCATACTGCTGGATAATACCCTTCATTTTTTGAGCATACTGACTCCATTGATACCCTCTCTTCTCTGCTCCACAGGGAAAGGGTCCCGCCAGCTCCTGGATGCCAAAATCAAGCTGATTACCAACACTTTGTGCAACTCCCACCAACTCTACAACCACATGATAGACGACAGCATGATCTGTGCGGGAAACCTTCAGAAACCTGGGCAAGACAGCTGCCAGGTCAGAGACTCAAAGCACACTTGAGAAGGAGAGGCTGGCAGGACATTACACAAGGCACCGAGGCTCCTTAGAGCAGCTGGGGTGGGAAGCAGGCTCAGATGCCCACCTGCCATAAAGCTAAGGCACAGGTGAATCTGAATCCACATCAGTCCAGGGTGACTCGGCATAATAGCAATAGGAGCCACTTTGCCTGCATTGTGTAATTTAATTTTCACAGCACGACGGTGAAGTGGATGGCCTTCATGCCATTGTACAGATGCTTAGAGATGTTATCTTGGGTGGTATATGGCAGGGCTGGAGTTTGAACCAGGTCTGCTGGGCACCAAAGCCTTCACCACTTTGCTCTACTGGGTTTAAATGTGAAGGTGGCATTTCTGGCTTCAGTGCTGGGCAGCAGGTCTGAAAAATCCCAATAATCGGGGAACTGTCTAAAAGACCAGTGGCTAGAAAGAGAAGATGAGAGGACTAGAGGATTCATTATAATAATTATTCATCATTAGGATGTAAGGGTGTGTGTGTGTGTGTGTGTGTATGAGACAGAGTGAGAGAGAGGGATCGATCTACCCCTAGCAAACTAAGTACCCACATCCCCTCTGAGTTATCTGTGGCCATAGGTAACCTAGGGCCTGCCTAACATCCTCCCTAGTCCTAGACTTTTGGGAACCCTGGGCTGCTGGGGCCAGTGGTGACTCAGAGAGGCTGCTAAGCAGGGAGTTGGTGGTGGCTCCATCAACTGGTGCTAAAGTGACCTTGGGCACTCTGCCCCAAGTAGAAGCCCACATCCCATAGTCCCTCTCTCAGACAGGGTCACATCACACAAGAAACACCCTTCTCAGATTCCAAGAAATGCTTCAGTTTAGAATTTATCTCTTGTCTTCATAAACCACACAACTGCATTGGAAAGCCTAGCATGGCACATTCAAACCTAGCTCATCGATGGACCCTCCCTGCAAAGGGACCCAACAATGATTTTCTGGGCTCAAGCTCCTCTTTGGGATGAGAAATCACAGTCACTCCAGTGTCTGTAGCTCTACTGGGATCCCCTGTCCCTTCCCAAGGGGCCACGGATATCTACATCCTCAATGGAGGGATGTGGGGAGATGGGTGTAACTTGCCCCAATCCCCTGGAAGATGAGTAAGACGAGATCCTTCAATTTCCTAGATAATTCAAGGGCCTTACTTGCAGGCTTTGGAAACAGACTGTCATGGGTTTGAAACCTGGCTCTGATTCTTACTTAGCAAATCACTTGACCTTTATTAAATCACTAAAGTAGTTCTCCAATCTCGGGTGCCCAATCTGTACAATTTAAACAATGTATCCACAAGATCATAAAGTTGTGGCTAAGATTAAAAGAGATAATTCATTAAAATAAACTCTCAGCTGTAGTGCTCAAGTAGTAGTCAGTGCTCAATACTTACCATCATCTTCCTCACCATCATCTTCCTCACCATCATCTTCCTTGCCACTTTAACTGAGCGCTTACTGTAAGTCAGACCCTGATCTATGTGTTTTACAGACATTAATCCTCATAAGAACCCCATGGGGGCTGGGAGGTCTATTGCCACCCACAGTTTACAATTTGTGAAACTGAGGCCCAAGGCCACACGGCTAGCAGGTGGTGGAGCCTCGTTTGGAATCCCATGGACCGGGCTTAAATGTCTAGGCCGGGCTGCCTCTGAGTCCCCATCCTCCTCACCCTGTGGCCCTGAAAGGGCTCTACCCAGACAGAATACTGCCTCACAGGTCAGCTGTCGGAATGAGAAAGTCAAGGGCCCCTGAGAATTCACAATGGTAATATTTGGAATAGCAGCAGTGTTAGACTCGAACACACTGGGGATCTTGAGGATGACACAGTACCAGGAAACATTTCATTCTGTTGTACACTTGGCCTCCCGTATCTGCGGGTTATGCATCTGTGGATTCAACCAACCACGGTTGAAAATATTCAAAAAAAAAAAAAAGACTTTTTTTTGTCATTATTCCCTAAACCATACAGGATAATAACTACACAGCATTTACATTGTATTAGGTATTATAAGTAACTAGAGATGATTTAAAGTGTACAAGAGGATGTTTGTAGGTTATATGCAAGTATATATAATATATATTATATATACATATAAAATATTAAATATAAGGGACTTGAGCATCCTCGGAGTTTGGCATCTGCGGGGGTCCTGGAGCCAATCCTCTGTGGATGCTGAGAGATGACTGTACCTAAGGTCACCATGAGTCAGCGCTGACTCAGCAGCAACTATCATCTATCTATCTATCATCTGTCTATCATCTGTCTGTCATCTATCTACCTATCTATCATCTATCTATCATCTATCTAAGAGTCAGAAGGTAGGGTTGTGGCAGCTGTTCAGTCCCATGGTGCTGTGCCACAGCCCTGTGGCATCTCTGCCAAACCCTTACTCACCCAGTTACATATGATGGTATTTGTGTCTCTTCCCTGAGAGCCCTGGGTCATATGAGGGACAGGAAGAGCCCTGTCACTGCTTTCCAGCTGTCCAGCGACTCCACCCCATCACACCTGGCATCCCCTTGCAGGCGGTAGGAGCCTCTTCAAATATATTCTGCTTCACACGGCTGAATACGTGCCTCTTTTCCTTAGGGAGACTCAGGAGGCCCTTTGACCTGTGAGAAGGATGGCACCTACTACGTCTATGGGATAGTGAGCTGGGGCCTAGAATGTGGGAAGAAGCCAGGAGTCTACACCCAAGTGACCAAGTTCTTGAGTTGGATCGAAGCCACCATCCAAAGAGAGGCTGGCTTCTAAGGTGGTGTCTTATGAACTTCAGAGCCCATCCTCCCTAGCACCCAGACAAGGCGAGGCTGCAGTGGGCAGCAACGGACCCTTGGAGCCTCCCGGAGGCCATGCAGCGGAGTATCCAAAGGTCTAAGTGGAGACACCTGCTACCCAGCCCAGGCTTCCTAGACCAGCGTTTCTACCATTTCACAGATTCCCTCTGCCCCCCTGGGGAACCCAAGGAACGATGGAATTAACTTGAAATGTATCATGTTTGATTCCCTTCCAACGATTGTTCTAGAAAATCAGTGTTCACAGAGACTGGCTGGACCTTGAACATTTGCAGACATACAATTACAGAATGCCCAGCTCCAATGGGAGTTGCCTGTACTCCTTTATTCCTTTATCCCAGACACACGAGCTACTCAACAGAACCAGTCAGCCACTGCTAGGTCCTAGATAAAGACCAAAAATACAACATTCTCCATTTGCTTTCATACTGTCATTGTTTTAATAGAAGCAGAGTGGGATAGTCAAGTGTGCCATTTTTACAGCTCGCCAATGCTGAAGCCAGGTAAAGGTTGTCTCTGGGGACAAATGGCCTCTCAAGCTTCTCTCCTTAGACTTCGGTGGACGCCACAAGCTCAGTACAGAGCCTTCCTCTTTTTGACATGCAGAACCTCATTGGCATCGGGGTTCACGTCTTCCCAGTGATGATCACTAGTGTCCACAGCCTCTGGCCCCCCCTGCAGAAACCAAGCACAACCTCCCTGAGTTACAACCAAGCTCCTTCCCTACAACAACTGTCTAAGACGCCCCGGAGCTGTTGTTGTTAGTTGTTGTCAAGTCGATTCTGACTCGTGCGCAGAGTAGAACTGCTCCATGGGATTTTCAAGGCGGTGACCTTTCAGAGGCAGTTTACCAGGCCTGTTTTTAGGTGGGTTTGAATCACCAACCTTTTGGCCAGTAGTCCAGCACTTAACCGTTTCCACCACCCAAGGTCTCCAGGAGCATTTAAAATGTTCACTCACCCCGTCCCCTCCCCGTCCCTCCTTCTCCAAGATAAAGGATCCTCAAGGCAGGCATGAGAAAGCAGCAAAGCCAGTCTCTCATTTAGACGTGGCGTCTTTTTTCCTGAACAAAGTCGGGTTCAAAACCCTGACTTTTGCAGCCAGCGAGTCCCTGACCCTTTCTGCGCATGTAACGAGCAAGCAGTCATCAGAGCCTGGCTGCCTTGGCCCCAGATTGATGTAGCCTTGGTAGGTTTGCCTCTGCAGAACTAATGGCTGTGACTTCAGAGAAAACCCTGCAGGAAGTTTAACCCGCATGTCATCTGCCTGGTCATCTCAGACCCATGAAATTAGGCGCCCTGCTTGAGCTGCATTTCACACTTCTTTAGAGACGGCTGACCTTTGGCCAAAAATAAACTTTGAAAAGAAACAATGGGTTTGCCTTTCCCCATAGCCTTGCAGGCTGGGGCTGGGTTTGCAGCTTGCTACTCACGTAAGCGCCCCGGAGAGCAAGGGCCCTGGCGTTGGCCAGTTCTGCAGCCCGCCGAGCCATCTCCACTTTGTAGGAGCCAGGAGGGGTCCAGCCAACACCTCGGGTCAGGTTCAAGTCTGATTTGTACTTGACCTTGGGGGAAGGAAGGAGGCAAGAAGAATAGGTCAGCAAGGCTTGGGGTGGTTTGGACATAGAGTGGATAGGATAAAAAAGGCAGCTGTGAGATGGAGAATATGCTGTTGTCAGTAAAGGCAGACAAGAGGAGCAAATTCATCTTAAGCAGGAGGTCCCTGGCATGGAGGACCCACTGCGTTGTAAGCCAGGCCCATGTGTTGCTGTCTCTCACATCTTGCCATTGAAATAATGTGAGCTGCAATGAGCATGGGGAGTGGAATGGGGTAGGGGTGGGAAGGGAACTGGCCGTGGAGTCAGAAGACCCTGATTCAAGTCCAAGCTGCTACCTTAACTCATCTGTGGCCTTGGGGAAGTCACTTCTCTTCTCTAGACTTGAATTTCCTCCAAGGAAAAGTGCAAAGGGTGGGTTAGATAACTACTAAGATCTCTTAGAAGTAGCACAACATTGTGATCAAGAGCTTGTGCTCTCACATTAAGTCAAATGGGGTTCACATCCCAGATCTGCCACTTATTTGCTGTGTGATCTTGAGTAAGTTACTTAACCTCTCTGAGCCTGTTTCCCCATCTGTAAAATGGGACAGTATTGGGTTTGTTGTGAGGGCTACATGGCACAATGCTTGTTAAGCATTTGGTATACAGCCTGGCCCACAACAGGGACTTGACAAATGGTTGTTGTTGTTGTTAGGTGCCATCAAGTCGGTTCCTAGTCATAGCAACCCTATGTACAACAGAACGAAACACTACCCGATCCTGAGCCTACAAAACATAGTCATTGTTATTATTACTTCTGGTACTAAAGTGTTAGTTGTCTTGGATTCTATCTCAGATAGAGTCTGGGACGTGGACTGTGGGATTACGGCTGCCCCTCATGAAGAGGCACTGGGGAAGGGCTTCGCCAAGGCGGGCGAAAGCACTCACGTCGCTCTGCAGCCGCTGAGCCTTCTGCACGTGCTTCAGGCCCAGCTGCTCTGGGTCGCTGGTGGGCTGGGGCAGGGGCTGCCTGTAGCGCACGTCACTGGCCAGCTGCTGGCTCCACTTGGCTTGGAGGAGGCCGGGCTGGTCTGTACGGCTGTGGAACTGGGATCGGGTCTTGGCAAAGTTCTTCTTGTACTCGTTGTCACTCTGGAGTTTGCTGACACTGACAAAGTGCCTCATCCTCGGGTCGTCGTTGATGCTGCAGTACCCAATCTGCAGACCCCGGTCCCGAAGGAAGGCCTCCTTGTACCGCAACTGCAGGCCAGAGGAACAGATGGGTCATGGACATGCCTCCTTCCCCCTCCCTCCCAACCCCCTGATCCATGGGCTTCTCAGCAGGAAGTCCAACAGTGGGATAAGGGTATAGGCTTTGGATTCCAGTAGACCTGGGGTCTGCACTGGTTCTGTCACCTTCTAGCTGTGTGGTCTTGGGCCAATTACTGAATCTCTCTGAGCCTCTATTTCCTCATCTGTTAAATTGGGAGAATCAGTCTCCACCCCATGGGGACGTTAAGAGGATTCAATGAGATGGAGGCTGAGCGTAGTGTCTGGCATGGGTTGTCTGTGTTCACTGAATGGTTTGTTGATGTTAGGTGCTGTCAGGTTGGTTCTGACTCATCGCGACCCTATGTACGACAGAACGAAACACTGCCTAGTCCTGCGCCATCTCATATTAAGCCCACTGTTGCAGCCACCATGTCAATCCATCTCGCTGAGAGGCTTCCTCTTTTTCACTGAACCTCTACTTTACCAAGCATGATGTCCTTCTCCAAGGACTAGTCCCTCCTTATAACATGTCCAAAGTACATGAGTAGCTACTGATATCCCTGCTGTTGTAATACTCCAATAGGAAGGGAAATGTGTCTATTCTCACCAGAGTCTTCTTCCCTTGATTCTTTCCAGCTTTCAGGAACCTAGCCCAGTGCTCCTCAACTATGTGTAGTGAAGGACCAGTTTCATTTTGTTTTGCTTTTTTCCAATCCATCAAAGATCAACATATGGTCCTACAACGTGTGACTAGTATGTAGTAGTACCATGCATGTTTGAGAACACTCAACTGGCCTTTACTCTGTTCAACAAGATGAATCCACCCATCACAAGCTTGGCTGTCACAATGTCAAATTGCTAAAAATGTTTCTAAATGCTTGCTCTCGATTTCAGTACTTATCTCATCATGGACTGGTAGCGGACAGTTCACAGATGACCACAGACCTAGTGCTGAGGGGCACTGACCTAGTCAATGACATCTTCCTCTTTGATAATAATAGCTGCCATGTTTGAACACCTGCTATGTGCATAGGCTGCAGATCATTTTGTTTTCACACCTACCTCAAGCCCTGGATACAAGTATTAGATCCCTATTTCATAGATACAGAAGCCTGAGTTCAGAGAATTTAGTTAACTCACCCAAGACCACACAGCCAGTTCCTAAGCGACTGAGCCAGGATGAAAACTCCAGTCAATCTAGGGCAAAAGCATAACTTCTTGCTATCCTGCCACTCTACACTTCAGCTAAAAGAAGTCTCTTTATTGCAGATCGACAAACTAAAAGACATTCAATGATTTCTAGGTACACATACACCAACTTCTAAGAGTGCGTCTTTTAATACAACTTTCCCCAATCCCAAATTTCTGACTAAAATCCTAGATAACAAGGCCTATTTTTTCTTTCATCTGGTATATATGTTCAATTTTGGTGCAGAGAGAATCCTGATGGGGTCTTGGTGGTCTGCCTTTCAACACGACTGGGAAAAACACAGCAAAACCTATCGGTAACCCACGGGGAAATGTGAGGTCTTACATCGCTGGCGATCTCTCTGGATGCGCGGGCCGTCTGGAATGGGATGGCGTCCAGCCTGAAGTCATAGCCACCAGCCCGGGTCTGCTCCCATGAGTTTCTGTAGACTTTCTAGATTGGGAAAACAAAGAAATAAGTAAGCCGGGAGTGAGCAGCTCCACTGCTTTGCACGTGGTTGGTTCTCAGCACAAGAGGTTGCTGAACACGTACCCTCTGCCTTGTTAGTCACCGGGATGGCAGAGCTCAGGGCCCCGGGGCCATCCTGGGGACCTGTCCAGCTCCAGGATTGGTGAGGCTGGTCATGCAGGCATCAGCAGGCTTTCTCTGAGCCCCCAACATGAGCCTTAGTCCCTGTTCTTGTGGCCTGTGGGCCAGGCTCATTTGCTACACCCCGTTGGTATCAGAAGGACCTTTCTACTCTGTCTTTGCGTTCAGTTTCAGTGCCTCAGGCTGGCGGCTGCTAGATGCCAGAGTTCACCATTCAAGAACCTTGTTTCTCCCCACATGCTGATAGCGCTCTTCCTTGGGTCTGGAACCCAAGTGTTCAGTAGCTCCATGGACTTCCTAGGAGCCCCCTCAGCCTGGCTTAGAGGCCATGCCCCACACCAACACTATGAAG